CGGCTTCATAGACTCCCTAGGACTCCAAAACCTAGGGCTCTGATACCAAGCTTTGTCACGCCCCGAACTATGGCCTGGGCGTAACACGGCACTCGGTGCCTGACTGCATGCGACCGAGCGAACCAACTGTATGGCTGGATCAACATGTGGTATAAATGTAAATCATGATAGTATGCTAAAAAGTCTGATTAAAATATCATAGATGCGGAAAAATACTGAAAGGTCTGCAAGTATAAACAAGTAGCCGACAAGGCTAACACATGAAAGCCTGCTAATATCTGACTGACTGGGTTATAGTCTACGAAGCCTCTAAAGAATACTGAAAACGCCAACTGTTTACCGGGACAAGGTCCCCGGTATACCTTATTAACTGAAATACTATAATGACTAAAACAAAAGAGAGATAAGGCCCCGAAAGACTGGGGCTCACCAATAGCTGATACGAGATGTCCTAGCAAGCTGAATCGTCGACCTGTAAATTGTTACCCACATCGCGAGATACAGGCCCCGGGCAAAAGGGGCGTCAGTACATTTGAATTGTACTGGTATGTAAAATAGCTGAACAAAAGAACTGTAAATACTGAAACTGAAACTGAACTGCTAGCTGATAAATTGATAACTGAACAAGGAAGTAAGGATGTGAATACTCCCTCTTCTGAATGATGAACAACCTGTTTAACTGAATATTAAACTGCGGCCTCAGGCCCAATATACATATATATATATATATATATATATATATATATGTGCACAACTGCGGCCTCGGGCCCAAGTATACGTATACATAACTGCGGCCTCAGGCCCAAATACAGGTGTTCAACATTCAAGAATATAAAATCAGGAACTAAGAATCATATTACAATACATGATACTGAAATAATGAGCCATACTGGGTTACATGATACTGGAATAGTGAATAGGATTAGACTAAGATGAGTATTCATAACAAGTTGATTTGTCATAACTAAAACTCATAGAATATCGAATGATTATGAGACTATGCCATCTAGAGAATAGAAGTCCTACTACTGATCAGGGAACTAAGGCATAGTTCCTTTCTGAGGAGACTGGTAATGATCATAATGAATGGGACGTAGGGAGAATCATAGACATTCCCAAACGTAAAGAGTTAGCCTTACATACCTTAACTTCCTGCTCTTGAGCGTAATACAACGTTGTCAATCCTTTCAACTTCAATCTATAGCAATACAAGTCAAAAGGGTTCCACATTAGCTATAATGCTCATGTTTTGGTCACTTAAGCATTTTGTCAAACACTTGGTAAAAATAAAGCTTCATAGTCCTTATTAATGGTGTCTCTACACCCAACAACCCATTCTCTTGTTCCTAGATAAATTCTAAGGTCTCAAATGATTACACCAACATTATTCTTCATCACCCATAAGGCAAACAACACTCTTAACCAATAATCAACACTCAACACCCCGAACCTATAATCGTTCATGCTTTTCTATCAACCCCAACAACTCATGTCTCATGAACTAGGATTTATAATCATTAAACCAATGCTAGAATCAATTAGAGGGTGAAGACATTACCTTTTCGAAGTTCAAGCCCTTGATTTTCGAGTTCTAGGCTTCCTTCTCTCAACAATGATGTCCCAATCGAATATCTAATGATATGGAGGGTTTACCCATGTTAATGAGATGTTGGAAAAGTGAAATTAACTTAGAATCACCATTAGAACTTACCTTGGGTGGTGGAAGGACCCTTAAGGAGTTAGGTTTTTGAGAGTTCCCCTTTCTAGAGCAAGTTTTTATGTTTTGGGGCTATGGGGGACGAAATATAGCTTTAAAACGACCCCCCACGTGCGAGTTCGCGCACCTGGAGGCTTGTCCGCGCGAGAGTTCGTGCTCAACGGCAGTAACACTGCCTCCCACGCGCGAGTTCGCGCACCTGGAGGCTTGTTCACGCGAGTGTTCGCGCATACGCGTACTGTTCCGAAAAACGCACATAACATTTTGCACAGAGATCCGTTCGGGATCCATAATATATCGTTGGAAAGATATTTCAAAGGCCTACAACTTTCATGCTTTGCGATGTCCCCAATTCCTTACGCATTTTCACTAAAACTTGATGGAAGACAGACCTTCTGCAGCTTAGTCGATTTTTGTCAAATCTTATGCACCTCTCTTTCCATTTTGATTTTTCAAACAACTATTTTTCCCACAATCATCCCGTTGGGACTTCACATGTACAAAATATAACCTTACCAATCATTTACCACATTCACACCTAAGCCGAATTTACGGGGTGTTACAAACATAATCCTCCAACATAATGATGGTATGAATTTCTCAAATATAATATACTATCTCAAACATATAAGAAATATCAAATGTCATCTCAAAAAGATAAGAAATATCATATAAATGCCAGTCTCAATCAAAAGGGATATCTCATGAATATTCGGACTCCTAGCATTATTAAGCACGAATTACGCTGAGGTCGTACGGTTCTATCTATAATAGTCATGTAAATACACTGCCGAGGTCATACGGCCCAATCCATAGATGCATCTCAATATACTACCGTGGTGTTCGGCTCGATCCACATGAAGAGAAGAAACTTATCGAATTACGGGCCACGTAGTAGTACACAAGGACAAGAACATTAAGTAAACATGACTTTTACCAGCAATCAAGTATTCCGCCAAACAACTCAAGGTAATGAGGTTTGACCTAACATGATCTCTAATCAAATTTTAATTATAAAATTTAAGTAATTAAACTAACAAGTTGAGTTCAATTATTATAATTAGTGCATGATAAAGTCCTAAGTCTATCCGGATTAAGTATGATTTTTAGCTATGTACGGGCTCTCGTCATCTTGTACGCACATAGCACCCACAATTAGTAGCAAATGACAATTTAACACCTACGGGGTAGTTTCCCCTCACAAGGTTAAACAGGAGACTTACCTCGCTCCGAAATCTGATAATCGGCTCCACGCCTCTCTAACACCTCCAACCAATGTCGAACAATCCGAAACTAATCAAACAACGTGCAAACCAATGAATACATACTCCACTACTCATAATTTAACAATTTATAACAATTCCAAATCTACTCGAAAAGTCAACAAAGTCAACCCCGGGGCCCACGTGTCCGAATTCCAATTTTTTTTAAAGATAATCATTACCCATAGCACCACAAACTCAAATATAAAATTTATTCCCAATTCCATGTCCGATTTCGTGGTCAAAATTCAAAAATATTATTTCTAGGTTTTCTTCCAAAATCTCACAATTTCTATAAATTATATTTAAATCCATATATAATTCATATATTTAGCTCACAATGGTTATAAATCACTTACCTCATGATAAATGATAAAAATGGCTCCTCAAATTGCCCAAAAATCACCCAAGCAAGAGAGAAGTGAGTGAAATGAGCAAAAATCCCAATTGGCTAACTTATAATATTCCCAGGCGACCCTTCATCGCGATCGCAGAAGATCCACCGCGATCGCGGAAGTCAAAACCACAACTGCCTAGATTCCTTAATCGCAATCTTGAACATATCTACGCGATCGCGAAACATCACCATCTAGACCAACGCGAATATGAGCACATCCACGCGAACGCGAAGGCAAATTTTCGGCCTCAGCAAATTCCTCTTACGCGATCGTAGCACCCTTTCGCGATCGCATAGAACAACCCTTCCATACCCAGCCAGCCTTACTAACGCTTCGCGTCCGCGATTCCTTCCACGCGAACGTGACGAACAAAAAGACCAAGTACCCCGATCGTGAGCCCCCAATCGCGTTCGTGAAGAATAATTCTCCCAGCTCCGAAACAACACTACGTGATCACGAGCCTTCCCCCGTGATCGCAAAGAACACCTCTGACACCAGAGAACGGCAATTACAAGACAAGGTGAAATGGCCTGAAACCACCCCGAATCACACCTGAGACCCCGGGACCCCGTCCAATCATATCAACCAGTCCTAATACCTTATCCAAACTTATCCAAAGGCTTGAAACGCCATGAATAACATTAAAACCATGAATTGACGATCAAATCCTTCTTTTAACTTTCAAACATTCAAACTTCGCCGAAACGCATCCGAATCATACTTAGACATTCTGGAATGACACCAAATTTTATGTACAAGTCACAAATTACATTAAGAACCTACCCTAAGGCTCATAATCCCATACGGACATCGATAACACTAAAGTCCACTTCAAATCAAACTTAGAAAAATCTAAAACCTTCAAAATGCCAACTTTCCACAATAAGCGTCGAAACACTCCCAGTCCATCCGAAACTCAATCCGAACATACGCCCACGTCCAAAATCATTATACAAACTGTTGGAACCTTAAATTCCCGATTTCGATGTCGTTTGCTCAATAGTCAAACCTTGGTCAACTCTTCCAACTTAAAGCTTCTGAATTGAGTGTTCTTCTTCCAAATCAACTCCGAGATTCTCAAAAATCGAAACCAACCAGACATGCAAATTATAATACATAAAGTGAAGCACTCAAGGCCTCAAAGCGCCGAAAAATATGCTAGAACTCAAAACGACTGGTTGGGTCGTTACAATATTTGTTGAAGTCGAAAGAAGAAGAAGAAGAAGAAGAAGAAAGATTTGACGTTGAAAAAAATAAAGGTATTTGAAAGTGAATGTTATATTTGTCATATTTTTTAAGCTATAACCATCAGGTATTCGATAATACTAGTTGTGAGCACGTAATTTTTGCCTCACAAAAAATATACTCCCATAAAATCAATAAATAAATTTTTTATTAATTGTTTTTAATTTTTATAGATTTTTTAAGGAATTTTTGGTAATTATTTGCATTTAGTTGCATTTTTCATGCATTTTTAACATTTTAAAATCATAGAAAAAATATCAAAAAATGTCCAAATCTCCATTGCATAGCATTTTTAGGTCTTAATTGCATTTAGGATTTAATTGCATAGTTTAATTACATTATTAAACAAAAATCACAAAAATGGTTTTTTTTGGTTGAAAGGATAGTTATATTATATATAGCTAAGCTCTTACAAGAGAGCGGTTAACAAGATGCATTAGTGGCACTAGATTTACATTAGTAGTATTTATTTCTAAGGTCCCCGTATAGGAACCAGTACTATTAAGTAAAGTTGAACTAGCTAAAACACTACTATAAGTACAAGGTACAGTACAAGTTGAAAATGTACTATTACACAAAACAGACTGACTTTTAATCAACCTTCTTCTGAGCATCCCTTGTTGATCTTGTTGATGTAAAGTTGAAACAAACGGTGGTGGACTTTCAAAAAGTAGACAGGTTTCCTTTGCATGCAAAGCTCCATAGTTGGCTAGACTATTTGCCACACAATTTTGCTCCCTATAGATGTTTTGAAGAGTGGGACTATCCAGCTGTAGTAGTAATAACCTGCAATCATTAATTATATTAGTGTATTGCATGGTAGTGCTATCAAACATACCGAGTAGGGCTCGTGCGTCTGTCTCAATGATGAGTGGTTTGAGGTTCTTTTGGACAGCAATTTTTAATCCCATGAGCAAAGCTAGACGTTCTGTCTGGATAGGTGTCCCATGCAGTGTTGATCCTGCAAATCCTATGATCCAATTTCCTAGATGATTACGGAAACTACCACCAATACCATAGTTATTTTGTTGGATCGAACAAGAACCATCAATGTTAAGCTTGTAAAAATGGATGTTTGGGGGGTGCCATTTTATATATAAAGGTATGAGAGTATAATTTTTGGATATTGGATTTGTTAGGTAATAAAATTGTGCAACCTTTTTTAATATGAAAGATATATTTAAAAAGGTTTTCTTATGATCTAGTGTGTTTTTATTGCGTATAATCCATAGCTCCCATAATGCAAATGGTATGAGGGTGGTATTTGGAGTTGTATGATGTTTGAATATTGACTGTTGATGAATAAACTGGTATAACCAATTCATAGTAGCATTGTGGGATAGAGGGGAATTTGCATTGATAGTAGACATCTTAAACACAGCCCATAGTTGTATTGCAGATGGACATTCTAAGAATAGATGTTGTAATATTTCAGGGGCCATATGGCATTGCGGACATATAGGTGAATTAAGAATACCTATTCTTGTAAGATAAGCAGTTGTTGGAAGTTGATCATGACAAATTAACCATAAGAAGAAAGATTTGTAGGAATATGCAATTTCCAAATCTAGTTAAAACTATAGATTGGATTAGTTGTTGTAGGAGATGTGTTATTTGTGATAGAAGTGTACATTGATTTGACAGAAAATATGCCATTATGTGTAAGAGCCCAATATATTTTATCATTATGTTGAGGGTGCAAGTGGCATATAAATATTTGTGATTTCAGATTGTAAGTGAGTTGGTATAGAGAAAGGTAGAGTATTAAAATGCCATTTATGATTGTAATAGTAGTGTGAAACAGTTTTTTTTCCTCATATTGTGGAAGGTGTCCGGATATGCAATTACGAATTAAATAATTCTGACTAATCCAAGGATCATTCCAGAATTTTACATGATTTTCCGTTGTTAGATTCCATTTATACCATAAACCACAGTAGGACCATATTTCATAATATTACACCAAGTTGTTGAATTTTGTTTTTTGATCAATTGCGGTGGTCGCATATAATTGTATAATAACACTTGTGCCCATAGTTGATTAGGGTTCTGAAATAACCTCCATGCAAGACTTACATGTAATGCTTGATTTTTTGTAGAGAGGTTCTCTATGCCTAATCCTCCTTGATCCAGAGGTTTTGTAATGGTAACTGTAAAGACCCGACCGGTCGTTTTGATCCCTAGCGTGTAGTTCAGTAGTTTGAGGCCATGAGCAGCTTCAATTTAGGTATTACGACTTGTATGCGCGGTCGGAATTAAGTTCCGGGGAATTCAGAGTCGATTTGGAAAGAGAACTCTTATTTCAGAAGCTTAAAGTGAAAGAATGAACTAGGATTGGAATTTTGAGTAAACGACCTCGGAATCAGGATCTGAAGGTTCCAGCAGGTTCGTATGATGATTTCGGACTTGGGCGTATGCCCGGATCGGGTTTTGGATGACCCGGGAACGCTTTGGCGCTTATTGTGGAAGTTGGCATTCTGGAGGAAATTTTACATGTTTGGTTTGAAGTTCATTTCAGTGTTATCGATGTTCGTTTGGAATTCCGAGACTGGGAGTAGCTCCGTATGGTAATTCTGGAGTTGGGAGCGCGATCGGAAGTGAATTCGGAGGTCCGTAGGTCATTTTGAAGCCATTTGGCTTAAGATAGAAATTTGAAGGTTTTTGAGAAGTTTGACCGGAAGTGAACTTTTTGATATCGGGGTCAGAATCCAATTCTGGAAGTTGGAGCAGGTTCGTAATGTCAAATATGACTTGTGTGCAAAATTTGAGGTCAATCGGACATGATTTGATAGGTTTAAACATCGGAAGTAGAAGTTGGAAAGTTCAAAGTTCATAAAGCTTGAATCGCGGTGAAATTCGTGGTTTTAGCGTTGTTTAATATGATTTGAGGCCTCGAGCAAGTCTGTAACGTGTTTTGGGATTGGTTGGTAGGTTTGGTCGTGGTCCCGGGTGCCTCGGATGGATTCCGGGTGGTTAACGGATTGAATTTGGAGTTGAAGAAAAAGCTGAGGCAGCTGATATCTGGTATTTCCGCACCTGCGAAGATTTGGCCGCAGGTGCGGAGCCGCAGAAGCGGCCAGGAAGACCGCAGATGCGAATTTTGGTAAGGGGAGCTGGGACCGCAGATGCGGTCAGGGAGCCGCAGATGCGGGACCGCACCTGCGGAAAAGGAAGCGCAGAAGCGGAAGCTGGGCGGCTGGGAAGGAGCCGCAGAAGCGGCGTTTTAACCGCATAAGCGGAAATAATTCCGCAGAAGCGGAAATGTCTGGAGCAGTGAGGTCTTTAAAAATTCGGGGTTGAGTTCATTCCAACCCCATTTTTCTTCCATTTGAGTCGATGGGGAGCAGCTTTGAGGCGTCATTTTCGTCACTTGTCATGAGGTAAGTAATTTATGCTAGCTTTGAGTTAAATACAAGGTTTATACATATATTTGGGCATAAAAATTGTAGAAAAACTTGGGGTTTAAGGGAAGACCTAGAAAATTAGTGTTCTTGAATTTTGACCACGATTTTGAGTATGGAAGTAAGAGAAAATCATATATTTGAGTTCGTGAGTTCATGGGTAAACTTTATCTTCGAGAAATTTCGGATTCCAGGCACGTGGGCCCAAGGGCATTTTTGTTAACTTTTCGTTCGGGGTTAGGAATTGTTACAAATTGGGTTGCAAAGCTTAATTGAGCATATATTAATGGATCTGTATAATCATTGGCTGGTTTTGGAGCATGGCGCGCTGGTGCAAGTCTTCGGAGGAATGTAGAATGCCGGTTATGAGTCTTCGGAGCGAGATGAGTCTCCTTTCTAACCTTGTAAGAGGGAATTGTCCCTATAGGTGAGTTATTTGGTTATGTGCTCCTATTTGTGGGGGCTACGTACGCACGAGGTGACGAGAGTCCGTGCGTAGCTACTATTATGCTATTGACCGGGTAGTTAGGACCACAACATGTTATACTTGGATTATTTATGAACCCATTGATAGCTTGAATTGCTTAAATCACCTTGGATTAGTAAATGAATTTAAAAGGAGATTAAACATCATTTTCCTGAATTGTTAAGAAGAGAAATTGTTTTATTTGGACAAATATTCCCGATAAGTTCTTAATTGACTGATTGAGCATGTATCTCTATGTGTACCTGCGTCGCATGCATGATTCGCGAGCAGGGTATGTGTTTATTTATGGAACGGGCCGAACGCCTCGGCAGATTAAATAGATGCATCTATAGGCGCACCGTCGACCCTCAGCAAGTGCACAGTTTATTTTTGTTGGATCGGGCCATCGCCTCGGTGTGATTTGCGCATGTTATATTGTTGCTTGAGAACTTTAAATGTGCAATTTGCCCTTTGTGGCTTGATACAAATTGATAAGATAATAAAGAGTAAACCCTGAAAATCCTTGATCATTTATTGAAGGTGTTTATCTGTTTTCTGGCTTCGTGAATTAGAACTACTATATAAATCCATGATTTTCTCACATTTTTAGTATATTGTCAATTGACCTCTAGTAAGTGTCGAAGTTGACCATCTCATCTCTACTTCTTCGAGATTAGGCGGGATACTCATTGAGTACACGTTGTTTACGTACTCATACTACATTTCTGTGCATTTTTGTTGCACAGGTATATTTATTTCTAGCAGCCACTGGGCGTAGCAGCGTGGATAATTTGGGGGCTAGGTGAGTTGCATTATTCGAGGCGGCCCGCAGCTAGTATAGGCCTCTTCAGTACATTGTATTTATTTCATGTCCATTGTATTCCGGACGGATGTTATATTTTATTTCCTTATCAGTAGATGCTCATGCACTTGTGACACTGGGTTTGGGATGGTTTGAATATTGTATCGACTGCTTATCATTTAAATTTGATTTGAGATTATATTCTTTAAAATTGCTAAATTTGAAGGAAAATCATAGATTTCAGAAGTATTAACACGAGAATTTGATTAAGTAATTTGGTTGGCTTTCCTGACAGCAGTGTCCGGCGCCATCATGACCCTTAGTGGATTTTGGGTCGTGACAGTAACCCACTTTATTAAATTTAATTTTTTTCTTTTGTTGAATTGTTCCCCAAAGGAAATTACGTTGATAACAATTTAGATAGGAAAGTATATAAGTAGGAATTTTAATGTATTGCATAATGTGATTAGGAAGATGGTTTAAAGTGGAACGAATTAAAGTAGTCCTTCCTGCTTTTGATAAAAAACTGGTTTTCCACCCTGCCAATTTATTCTTGAAATTGTCAATTAGGAATTGGTAATCCCTTTTAGTAAGCTTCTTATTAAAAATAGAAAATCCTAAGTATTTTCCAAAACTTTTTCCTTCATTCATTTTGAAAATTTGTAGTATAGTAAATCTTATATTAGGTGAGCAATTACTAGAGAAGAAGATTGGATTTATCATAATTTATAGTTTTTCCCGAGTGATATGTAAAATGAGTAATAGTATTAACAATTGATTGACAAGATTTATCAGTTATTTTTGATATGAGAATAATATCATCAGCAAAAAAATAAATGGAATAATTGAGGCCCTTTATTCCCCATTGATAGTGGTATAGTCAACTGAGGCATTTATTTTTCGCGAAAGCATTTCCAAGCATAGAATAAATAAGTATGGTGATAAAGGATCTCCCTGTCTAATACCTCTTGACGGTGTGAAGTATTATGTAGGGTTACCATTTATCAAAATAGAAGTAGTAGTAGTTGTTATACATGACATAATTAGTTGAATAAAAGAAAATGGAAAATTAAGAGTGATTAATGTATTATATATAAACGCCCACTCTAATTTATCAAAAGCTTTTTCCAGATCCACCTTTAAGAGCATGTTTAAATTACTACCCTTTTGGAATTCGGTAACAATTTCTTGTACAATGATAGCATTATCAGCTGCCCTTTTATTTTTCTGGAAGCTGGATTGAGTTGGATGAATAATATTATCCAGAATGGGTTTTAGTCTGTTTACAATTATTTTTGTAATAATTTTATAGATCGTATTACAAAGACTAATAGGTCAAATTGTGATATTGTGGATGCAGTATTATGTTTGGGAATTAAACAAATGAAAGTTGTATTAATAGAAGGATCAATCTGATGTTCATAGAAAACTTTATGGCAAAATTTTTTAACTGAATTACCAATTATGTGCCAATATTTTTGGTAAAATAAAGGATGAAGTCCATCCGGTCCTGGTGCTTTTAGAGGTTTAAAAGAATTAATAGCATTAATAATTTTACAGTCCTACAAAGAATTTGTTAAACCAGATTGTTCATGAATTGTTAAAACATTGAAAGGCTGTAAATTATTCTTTGCAATAGAAGTTATTTGTTGAGTAGTAAAAATATTTTGATAGTATTGTATAATATGATCCCGAATATGATAAGGATCACTTATCCAATTTCCCCCTTGGTCTTGAATCACAGTTATACGATTATGTCTTCTACGATTTAGCGTTGTAAGATGGAAAAATTGAGTATTTGAATCTCCATCATTTAACCATTCAATACGTGACTTTAATTTTCAAAAATCCTCCTCAAGCCGAAGGATTTTATTAAATTCCAGAGTTAAAGTATATTCCAAGTTATGTAAAAAAGTACTAGTTGGATAATTGATAGAGGATTGAATACCATTTAAACGAGCCAGTATTTTATTTTTACGCTTAAATAAATTACCAAAAGTTAATTTATTCCATTCTTGTACTGTACTAGTGAATTGATTAATAGCAAGTATTAAATGTAAATTATCTAGCCATGCTTGTTGAACTATAGATGGAAAAGTAGGGTGTGTAGTCCAAATAGTTTCAAACCTAAAAAAATTTTTACGAGGTAATGGACATTGTTGAAGTTCTAATTTAATAGGACAATGGCCTGAATGTGTACGGGGAAGATGTGTAACTAGTGCTTCAGGGTATTGTTTGAGCCAATCATAATTAGCCATAATACGATGAATACGTTCAAGTATATTATAACAATTATGCCTACCATTTGTCCATGTATAACGACTACTTTTGTATCCCAAATCGGTTAAATGACAATAATTTAAACAGTCTAATAATTTATTTTATCTTGAATTATTAATAGATAAACTACCAAATTTATCATTAGCATGCAGTATCTCATTAAAATCACCACCTAATAACCAAGGACCCTTATAATTATCATATACACACATTATATTGTGCCATAAGGATTGACTAGTTGCTAAGTCATTACTAGCATATATGGCAGTGAATAAACATTTAAATGGAAAAGGGAGCACCTGAATATGGCAATGGATCTCCTGAGAGGTGGTGGCCACTGGTTCCACATGCAGCACATCTGAAAGCCATAAAATAGCAATTCCTCCCGACTGGACATTAGCAGCAACCTCAATTAAACTAGTAAAATTAAAATCCTCCTTGACTGTTTGGTGGTTTTGACAGTGAGTTTCCAACAATACAACCAAAGATGGTCTATTGTAGTCAAGTAGTGACCGAAAATTTCTTCTAAAATCATCTGACTGAGCACCCCTACAATTCCAAATTATAAAATTCATATGGTTAAGGATTGGTTCAAACCGTTGACTGCTCCTGGGGTTCCTCTGACTGCTTGACTGCCCTGCTCGAAAAAGAAACGTGGGAAGTAGAAGCATGGCATACTTCCCCACGTCTGAATTTATAGTTGGCCTTAGTCGGAATGATGTGGTTAGCAGATTCGGAGGGCACCTTAAGAATATTTTTCTTTCGTACTCCTTCTGGACAAAGACCTTGATTCCATCGAGGTATGCATGAAGTGGACGTGTTTCTCTGTTGTAAACGACTGCTGCTTCTAGTTCTGCTTGAAAGTTGGTGTCTTGTTCTACTGGACTGGGAGGATGGGGTGGTGAGTGAGTTGGTGATGGAGTTGGCGTTGGAGGTGTTATTGGTTCCATTGGTAGTATGTTTGGTGATGGATCCATGGTGTAGCAGGAGTGGGTGATGGGTAAAAGGGCATTTGATGAAGATGTGGGTGAAGATGGAGTGGATCCCAATATGGTGTTTTGGGAGAGTAATTGGGTGATATGGTGCAAGATAGGGTGCTTGTATCATGGACCAGTGGTATCTCCCATATATCTCCGTCCCTAACTACATGCCCTCCGCTACTATTTGTGCTAGGTCCCTTGGATGGTTGATGAGAATTGTCACCTCTTGATGGTTGACTTCCATCGTGAAATTTAATGCATGATTCTGCAATCCCGTCTCTAGCTAAGAAGTGAGATGTGTTGGTGCATGAGGGGTTTGAGCTGTGTAGATAATGGTATTGGGCTCCATGATTAGATGTGGAGGAGGAAGGGAGAATGGAGTGTGGTTGTGTTGGAGACGATGAGTGGGTTGGCTGGGTGTAGTTTGTGGTCTACGTAGGTAATTTAGATTGGGTGAAAACATCTTCTAGATTGATGGATTGGGAGTGTGATTTGAGTGTAGTATTTGGTTTGAGTGGATTAAGTTGTGTCGGATTTGAATGGACTATAGGAGAAACTAATTCTATGGTAGTTTTGGGCGGTTTGAATGACTGATTTGTTTGTTGTGTGTTTGAGTGGTTTAAAGGGGTGAGGAGACCATCATAACCTAGTTGCATGGTAGCTATAGGGTTATTCATTGTTGTTGGTATTCCGTGTGGGGTGAGTGGGTAGATTTTGTATTAGGTTTTCTTGGGGTGGTGAGTAATGAGTGTTTGGACCAAGTAAGATTTTTTGCATGTGAGAGTACCTATCGTGGCTATCTGCATGGCTTAGAATTGACGTTGAATGGTATTCATTTTGTAATTGGGCCGAATGGGAAGCCACTTAAGTGGAAATTAAGGGAGTTAATAGGTTATTGTCATCAAATTGATTAAGAGGATTAGACTTATCCAAATCATTTGGCATTAGTGTAGCAAATTGATTAGTGGTTAACAGAGGAGTTATAGGTGTTTTAGAAAGATTATTAGGAGTAGGTATAGGATTATTATTATTAATGGTTAATTTTGTAAAAGGAAGATTATTAGGGGCTGTGGATACATACTTACCTGAAGACTTTGTAGTAGTAGTACCCAAAGGTTGCACTGGTTGTAGTTGATTTACTTTGTAAGAATTGATTTGCATAGAATTTTTTCTTTTAGGGAATTGCACTGTCTTCCATTCTTCCGTAGATATAAAGTGGTTATGTGTTAAGTTAGGGTTAGGAATGGTTGAAAGTTTAGTGTGAGACACATCAGTAGGATTTTCATCTTGTAATTGATAGGTACAAGCTCTTTGATTATGCCCCATCCGACCACATTTAGTACATAGAAAATTTAATCCTTCATAAAGGATATGTTGGGTTGGTGCTTACTGATGAACTGGATGCACCTAATGATCCCTCTAATTTCATTCCCATTTCTCTTGAGGAAAAAAATAGGATATACAAACCATGGCAACATGCAGTAATTGTGAATGTTTATGGACGAAAGATTGGACATCAAATACTTAGGCAAAAAATTTATACTTTATGGCAACCTACTGAAAATCTACCTCTCATTGATTTAGGATCGGATTTTTTTCTTCTTAAATTTCAAAAAGAAGAAAACAAGAATCATGCATTACATGATGGACATTGGTTCATCTTAGATCACTTTCTATAAGTTCGTCAATGGGAACCAAAAGTTATGGCTTCTGAAACAAAAATAACTTACTCTGCTATATGGTTGCGATTACCTGAATTACCTACTGAATTTTATGATTTTCAGATTCTCCAGAAAGTAGTAACAAAATTGAGAAATAATTAATTGTTGATACTTGCACCTCTTCAACAACAAGAGGAAGATATGTCAGGTTATGTGTTGAAATACCAGTGGATCAACCTTTACGTACACATATTTACCTTGAAAATCATAAGCAACATATCCTATATGAAGGATTAAATTTGCTATGTACTAAATGTGGTCGGATGGGGCATAATCAAAGAGCTTGTACCTATCAATTACAAGATGAAAATCCTATTGATGTGTCTCACACTAAACTTTCAACCATTCCTAACCCTAACTTAACACATAACCACTTTACATCTACGGAAAAATGGAAGACAGTGCAATTCCCCAAAAGAAAAAATTCCATGCAAATCAATTCTTACAAAGTAAATCAACTACAACCAGTGCAACCTTTGGGTACTACTACTACAAAGTCTTCAGGTAAGTATGTATCCGCAACCCCTAATAATCTTCCCTTTAAAAAATTAACCATTAATAATGATAATCCTATACCTACTCCTAATAATCTTTCTAAAACACCTATAACTCCTCTGCTAACCACTAATCAATTTGCTACACTAATACCAAATAATTTGGATAAGTCTAATCCTCTTAATCAACTGTGACGATCCAAAGGGTCATCACCTATTTTTTTATTCATTCCGTGCTTCCGAGGCTCGAAAACCTCATATTTACTTGCCTCGATTTGCGTGCCCAGTCCGAGCGCGTAGCCGGAAAGCTTTTATGTTGAAATATGTGAATTCTATGAAAAATTTTAAGAATTTTGATATTAATATGATTAAAGTTGACTTTGGTCAACATTTTTGGTAAACGGATCCGGACCCGAGATTGGACGGTCCCGGAAGGTCCGTAGAAAAATATGGGACTCAGGCATGTGTCCGGAATCGAATTCCGAGGTCTAGAGCCCGAGGAAAGAATTTTTCTGTGAAATTGTGTTTCTGAAATTATTAAGGAAATTGGAAACGAAAATTGATTAAAAGACTGTGGTATCGGGCTCGTATTTTGGTTCCGACGCTCGGTACAAGTCTTATATATGGTTTAAGCGCTTTCTATAAAAATTTGGTTGAAAACGGACGTCGTTTGACGTGTTTCGGACTCGAAATGAAAATTTGAGGCTTTATGAACATTTCAAAGAAAATCATGAGTTTTGAGGCTTGATTCTATGTATATGATGTTATTTTGGCGATATGATCACGCGAGTAAGTCCGTAGGATGTTTTTGAGGTTGTGTGCATATTTGGTTTGGAGCCCCGAGGGCTCGGGTGAGTTTTGGATAGGCATCGGATTGCATTTCTCATGATTTAAAAATCTGGTATGCTGGCTTCTGCAATTTTCGCAAATGCGAAGGGAAGACTCGCAATTGCGAGCTCGCAAATGCGAGCACTGCTTCGCAATTGTGAAGTTTGGAGAAAATGGGGCACTGTCGCAAATGCGATGGGTAGGCTCAAAAATGCGAAGGGGGGGAGGTTCGCAAATGCGAAACCCCGCCTGTAGGCCCAGTGTTCGCAAATGCAAACCAAGGATCGCAATTCCCAGCCATGTCTTGTTCGCAAATGTGAACCAAGGCTCGCAATTCCCATATCCGAGGCCCAGCAAATTTTATACTTAGTCGAATTTTCATCACTTTTCACCATTCTTTCAAAACCCAAACACCATAGGCGATTTTTCAAAAACAAACTTCATCCCAAATCATTTGTAAGTTAATTTTTACTCAATTCATTCAACTTTTAACATCATTAAACATGTTTTCCACTTGAAATCAAGGATTTTCATGGGTGAAATTGGGGTTTTTGGGTAGAACCTAGGTCTTCCATAAATTGGGGAGTTGGACCTCGATTTGAGGTCCGATTTCAAAACAAATTACATATTTGAGTTCGTGGGGGAATGGGTAACCGGGTTTTGGTTCGAACCTCGCGTTTTGACCACGTGGGCACGGGGGCGTTTTTGGAATTTTTGGAAAAACTTGGGAAATTCATTTTTATGCATTCAAATTGATTCATATAGTATTTATTAAAGTAATTGAGCAATTTGTGATTAGATTCGAGCGAATTGCAGGTGAAACCGCGAGGTAAAGCGATAGTTGAGGATTAAGTGGATTTCAAGGCTTTGAGGTAAGTGTTTGGTTTAACCCTAGCTTGAGGGAATAGGAATCGAGTCTTGTTGCTAATTGCTATGTGATCGAGTACGATGTATAGGCATGGTGACGAGTATCTATACATTGATGTCTAGCATGACCGTGAGTCCTTATAATGTGATTATCATGAACTGATTGTGAATTTCATGTTTATTGGAGTATTTCTATATGTTGTGAATAACATGTGAATGGTGATATGATAATTTGATTCCTAGGAGCATTGGCTCGAACTGTGATACGAATATTGAAAGTATATGAAATGACTTGATTCATTGAGGAGCGTCGGCTCCAGTTGTAGAACGAATTGCGAAAGTATAAGTGATAATTGAACCTCTGGAGCATCTGCTCGAGTTGTGAAAAGAATTGTGAAGTAAAAGTGAGAAAGAGGAGAGATCATTATGTTGCCCTCTTGGCGGGCTATTGTTGGGTTGTGATTCCTCTGCATTGTGTTCTTAACGGATACTAGGGTCGCTTAGGTTAATGTTTCCTTGTGTCGTATGATGACTATAGTTATAGATGGGTTGGTTGGGTGTGGTAGTCGGTTAGATATAGCTGAGGTGGTCAAGTGTGGTAATAGGTTGGTTATAGCTGTGGTGGTTAGATGTTGGAACTAATGTGGTGGTTAGATGTTGGAACTAATGTGGGTATAGTAATTCCCTTGCCGGGATATTTGAGATAATGTTTTGTTCCCTCACTGGGATGTCGTTATATTGTTGTTTGTGACGGAATATGAGATAAGAATTTCTTGGAGCTTGGGCTCCAGTGATATCGTGGAGTAAGAAAAGAAAGAAAGGGAAAGAGTTACTGGTTATTCCCTTGCCGGACGTTTTGTTGATTCTGTTGTTGGTTTTTTTTTCTCTCCCTTGCCGGGATACTGAGATTATTAAGTTGTTTGTCATGTGTATTCCCCTGCCGGGATTTTCATTATTGTTTATTTACTCTCTTGCCCCATATTTGTGACTGTGGTTTGGATGAGGAAATATGATCTTGGTGGAGCGGGTTGCACGCCGCAACAATGATATTGAGGATCGGGTTGCATGCCGCAACAATGATATGTGAGGATCGGGTTGCACGCCGCAACAATAATATGTGAGGGTCGGGTTGCGCGCCGCAACAATGATACATGATAAATGATATGGGTCGGGTTGCACGCCGCAACAGTGGTATTTGTGGAGCGGGTTGCACGCGCAACAATGGTAATTATGGAGCGGGTAGCACGCCGCAACAGTTATTTGATGCCCTGTGTTTATATTGAGGTTTGATTCCTTGTTTATGGTGGATCTAAGTTGCTTTAGTTTATTACCCTGGGTTACTGTTAATATTGTATCTCCCCATAGCATGTTTCCCCCTCCCATATTGTTAATTGCTTTGTATTCGATTTTCGCTATATATTTATAACTGCACAGGTTTATGTGGTGTCCACTCTAGCCTCGTCACTACTTCGCCGGGGTTAGGCTAGACACTTACCAGCACATGGGGTCGGTTATGCTGATGCTACACTTCTGTGCATTTTTGCACAGGTCCAGGTTTTGAGGAGCAGCAGCAGCAGTAGTACGGGAGCAGGATTTCATTTATACGAGACTGAGGTAGCCTTGCAGGCGTCCGCAGGCCCGACGTCTCTTCCTTATGTTCTCTTTAGACTGTTGCCTCATTGTTTTCGAGACAGACAGCTTATATGTTTCTTTCAGACCTTTGTATTTAGTAAATTCGTAGCAGTTCGTGAGTAATATGACACCAAATCTTGGGTAGAGGCTATTGTTGACTATTCCGTATTTTGATTCAGACTTATAAATTAGACTTCCGCTATTATTGTTATTAAATTCCATATTACTTGTTGATGTTATAGATTGTTAAAGATTTATTTATTAATGAAAGGTAAATAAGTTGGCTTGCCTAGCTACCACGAGTAGGCGCCATCACGATCCCGATGGTGGGAAATCCGGGTCGTGACAAGTTGGTATTAGAGCACTAGGTTACATAGGTCTCACAACTCACGGACAAACTCAGTAGAGTCTGAGGGATCGGTACGGAGACGTCTGTATTTATCCCCCAGAGGCTACAGAGTTAGGAAAAGTTTCACTTCTATTCTTCCTTGTCGTGCGATTTTGTTCTCTCAATGCTAAATTGAAACCTCCACTCTTGTCCTTTCGTGAATGGCGAGGTCATGTACCGCTTCTTCAGCCGAGCAGCAGCGGACTGGCGATAGATCAGCTACGTCTTCGGAGGCTTTGTGGAAGTAAAGGTATTAGAGGTGGAGGTAGAGATGCGAAAGGTGGAGGTAAATGTATTAGAGGTGGAGATGTAGGTACTATTCTGGTTTGTGGTAGAGAAGCTTCGATTTTATTTTGCGCGCGTATCTGGTCATCACCTTATCATGCCACCTTGGACTGTCATGCCAAGACTGTGACCTTAGCTTTACCGAGTTTGCCTCGTTTAGAGTGGAGAGGGACTCCTGGTCATTCTACCTGCAGTATTATATCGTATGTGAAGGCTCGGCGTATGGCCGAGAAAGGGTGTTTGGTTTACTTGGCGTATGTTCGTGATTCTAGTGTTGAGGTTTCCTTTATCTATTCTGTGCCCGTTGTTCGTGAGTTCTGGATGTTCCCTTCAGACCTGCCGGGCATGCTACCCGACAGGGATATTGAATTCTGCATTGATTTGGCTCCGGGCACTCAGCCCATTTCTATCCCGCCGTATCGCATGGCCCCGCCAGAGTTGAAGGAGTTAAAGGACCAGTTGCAGGATTTACTAGAGAAGGGTTTTATCAGGCCTAGTGTTTCTCCTTGGGGTACGCCGGTGTCATTTGTGAAGAAGAAGGATGGTTCGATGCGGATGTGTATTGATTACCGGCAATTGAACAAAGTGACAATAAAGAACAAAAATCCGCTGCCGAGGATTGATGATTTGTTTGACCAGCTTCAGGGAGCAAAGGTGTTTTCAAAGATAGACTTGAGATCCGGCTACCATCAGCTGAGGATATAGGGCGTCTGATGTCCCTAAGATAGCATTTCGCACTCGGTATGGGAACTATGAGTTTTTAGTCATGTCATTTGGGTTGACCAATGCCCCAGCTGCATTTATGGAGTTGATGAACCGAGTGTTCAGGCCTTATCTAGATTTGTTCGTGATAGTCTTTATTGATGATATTCCGGTGTACTCCCGCAGCCGGGAGGAGCACGATTAGCACCTCAAAGTGGTTCTTCAGACTCTGAAGGATAGTCAGTTGTATGCTAAGTTCTCAAAGTGCGAGTTCTGGTTGAGTTCGGTTGCATTTCTGGGTCATGTTGTATCAGTAGAGGGTATTCAGGTGGACCCAAAGAAGATAGAGGCAGTCAAGAACTGGCCTAGACCAGCATCAGCTACAGAGATCCGGAGTTTCTTGGGGTTGGCAGGCTACTACAGACGGTTCGTGGAGGGATTTTCATCTATTGCAGCCCCGATGACCAGATTGACCCAGAAGGGTGCCCAGTTCAGATGGTCGGATGAGTGTGAGGCGAGCTTTCAGAAGCTCAAGAC